AATCCGTTCATGACAACTCTGCTAGTCATGTTTTCTTTCTTAATTGTTGTTTATCTTATGAATCTATTTATTGGATTACTTAACTTAGAAATTGAAGGAAGTAGAACACATTTCCTTTTTATGCTTCAAAAATCAAAAATTTTGGCTGAGATTGAACTATTTCTCCTGCTTCCAAATCAACGAAGGTGGCAACAGTGGTTTCCGGATGTTATGTAAGTTATTTATAATTGATGACTGTGTACTATTAAGAGGTCTTATCTTTTTTATATTTTATATATAGATTATATGATATGCCGATTGAAGACGTTCAACAAAGGATTAATGAAATAGACGATAATCCAGGATTATATAATTCACCACACATCTCTCACGAATTAAGGAGGCTGGCCGAAATGAAAGTTAAAGAAGATCCGATCACAAAAACTGAGTGTAACGATTTAGTGAAAGAGTTAAAAGAAGAAATATTTAATACCATTTTAAATAAAAATGTTGCTGAAGTTAGTTATGAAAACAAACCAGAAAATGAGATAATGAAGGATGAAATCCTTTCAGATAAAAATGATGGTGAAGTTTGTAAAGAAAATAAATCAGAAAATGTGATAGTAGAAGATGATGAAGATGATATTAGAGTCCTTTCGGATGAAAATGTTGTTGGTGAAGTATGTGAAGAAAAATACCAGAAAATTTGATAGTTAAAGATGAAATTATCCTTTCACATAAAAATGTTGGTGAAGTTTGTGAAGGAAACAAATCAGAAAATGTGATGGCAAAAGAACAAACGGTAGTTGATATTGGTAATGATTAAATATAAATAAATTATTCATTTTATTATTAATCATTATTAGCGAATAAACAAAACAATAAAATATTATCATTTCTAATAGATATAAAGATTTATATAATGTGAAAATGAAATATGTGAGAAATATCTTCTTGTGCATAAGTGTTTTATCATAAGAAATTTCTAAACATGTCTTCAAATATTTTATAATGAATAGCCTTAAATAGGCCAATACACATTTTTTTTTCGAAGTTCGTTACTTTTGATTTCCAGTAGTATGATGAAAGTCCCAAGAAAACAACCCTTTGCTCATCCATCCATAAGGACATTCTTATAAAACCGGAAAATATTAGATTGATACAATCTCATAAGGAAAGATTAATCATTATCGCGTAGTCACAATGTCTGTTTGTAGCAATACTCATTATTTAACATTTCTAAAAAAAAACCGCTTACCGTAACTGGGCAGGGTCTCCATCTGATGCCCGTGTGGCCATCAGGTCAGGTAAAGTATTGTTGATGATATCGTTCGAAAAAATATCACCGACACTTGTGCAAAATTTTGAAACACTTGGAGGACAACTTCAGGAGCATCAACACGATATCAGCCCGATATTTCAGTACTTCAACAAATCCATACGGTTACGCAAAAATATATATTAATTTTAATTCAGATGGCCACTGTCCGCGGAGGGGGACTAAGTAGTTATGTCTAGGCCTTGTGCTTAGGCCTAATGAATATAGCCCTGTCATATGATAGATGTGCATGGAAACCTTTTGCGACAAGTACCATTTATCCTACAACTTTCTTAACGATAAACCATACTGCATCGGTGCTGTTTACGGCTTGATGCTTAATTGCGTTGCTGTTTACGGCCTGATGCTTGCGTTGTCATTTGATGATGCTTTGGTTTTGCTGTAATTTGTTGATGTTTTTTTTGTTGCTTTTTATATGTTTTATCTCATCGACTTTAAATTTCTTTATTTACAGTCTCTACTTAAGAAAGTCATTTTTGGTTATTATGGCAATGATGAGAAGTAATTTTTAATGTCTTCCGTGACCATATTTTTATAAATATTGTGTTGTGGTAATTGACATAATATATAATTATAAACTTTTGAGTCTTAAACCAAAAAATTTTACTCCCATTAAATCAACCTTCAGAAAATCCCTCATGAAGAGTTCATTTGTAAAAAATTGAATTTTTTTTGGGAACATTAAATGTATTTATGTAAATTTTAAATATTATAATGTATCAATGAATAATAAAATACATATGATTTAATAAAAATATATTTCTTGGGTGATTAATCGCTGAGATGGCCGATACAGCTGAATCATGTAATTCAAAATTAAGTAACGATAATTTTCGAAAGCAGCAATTTTTGAATTAAACAGGGATTTTAAAAAATAGACGAAACATTTTTTTTACTGGGATTTACCGATAATTGCGGCTAAAGTACAACATTTCTATTTATAATTCTTGGTAATTCAAAAAGGGTTTTTAAACGACTATATAATTCGTAATTTTATTTTTTTGGGAAACAATGTAAGAATTTTTCTTAGATGGTTTATGATCACGAAAGATTTTTTCATAGTGCATATAATAGTCATTGAAATCATCACTGTTTTAAATGATATAAATTTTCCTTCACTTCGGTAAATCAATATAAAATTCGGTATCGATACAAATATTTCATTATATCAGTTCTTTGAGTTGATAAATTTCATTGACATACTCGAATCTCGTTGTTAAAATACCAATGAATAAACAGTCAAACTTTACAACGGTATAGAGATTTGAATAGGTTCTTCCAAAAACGAATAGAATTGGTTATTGAAATTCGAATAAAAAATCGAATAGTGACGCAGTAAGTGCGGAGTTTTAATCAAAACGATTTTATAATAATATCATTTCTTTTGTATATTAATTAAATCTTTTAATAATAAAGTGAATGACTAACCTATAAAAAAATAATAACTAAAGAAAAAACACCACAACAATTATATGGCTGTTTAATTCGAGAATCCATAATACCTGATCTACCTTTTCGTACTTGCCCATGCGATATTGCATTCATGTATTTTATTACCTGGTCTTCAGTCGATAACAAAAAATCACGTAATGTTATTGTTTTTATCCATCATCTGTTTTAGACCAAATCATAAATTTCCTTTCCAATGAGGTATTTTGTCTTCATTCTCAACTATCCTAGACGCGTTCAAGAGCTATGTATTACGTTGTTATTAATAGTCTGGAGCAAAATGTTATAGTATCGTATAAAAAATATAAATATTTTATTTAATAAAGTGTATAAATTATTAATATAAACTAAATAAATCAACATTATATCCCATTTTATATAAATAAACAGTTGCAAAACTATGTTTATTTTCAGCGGCTTTTTGATACCAATAAAGGGAATTTTCTAAATTTTTTTCTATGCCTTCACCGTTTTCATATAATAATGCAATATTATATTGTGCATCTGCATTATTATTTTCAGCAGCTTTTTGATACCAATAAAATGTCATTTCTAGATTCTTTTCAATTCCCTTACCATTCCTATATAATGAAGCAAGCTTGTTTTGTGCCTCTATATTATTATTTACTGCAGCCTTTTGATACCACCAAAAAGCCATTTCTAAATTCTTTTTTATTCCTTCACCATTTTCATATGAATATGCAAGTTTAAATTGTGCCTTTTCAATATTAGCATTTTCTGCAGCTTTACGATACCAATGTAAAGCCTTTTCTAAATTTCTTTCTGTTCCTTTACCAAGATAATATAATATAGCAAGTTTATATTGCGCAGCATTATAACCATTTTTAGCAGCTTTTTGATTCCAATAAAAAGCCTTCTCAAAATTCTTTTCTATCCCTTCTCCATTTTTATATAATTTTGCAAGTCTATATTGTGAAGAACTAAACCCATTTTCAGCTGCTTGTTGATACCAATAAAAAGCCTTTTCAAAATTCTTTTCTATTTCTTCACCATTATAATACAGATTAGCAAGTTTATATTGTGCCAAATTATATCCATTTTCGGCTGCTTTTTTATACCAATAATAAGATTGTTCTAAATACTTTTCTGTTCCTTCATCACAATTATAATACAAATCAGCAAGTATATTTGCAAGTATAAATTGTTCTTCTTCAATATATCCATGTTTCGCAGCTTTTTCAGTTTTTTGATATGAATAAAAGGCTTTTCCTATATTATTTTCTATTACTTCATCATTTTGATTCCAATTGATAATTAGACTTGATGAGTTATTTACGGAACTGATTGCATTTGATTGAGATAATTCTTGATTTTGTGAAATAGTCATATTAATTTGTTCAGTAGAAATAATTGATTTAAGAGTTGATACAAGTTTTTGCAAATTTGGACGCTTAATTGGTTCATATGTCCAACATTCTTATTGAATAAATAAAAATTGAAATTTTTTATGAAATAGATAAAAAAAAATAATAAAAAAAAACACATAATTATAAACCTATTTACCTTGATATAAGTTGATATATTTAGGAGGAGTTCCAACTATAAAATTTTCTCTCTTACCATTTATTATTCCTATGGATAATAAACTTACGTTATAATTCTCAATTTTAGAAAATGGTAGATATCCACTTGAAATTTGCCACATCAATACTCCAATACTATAGATATCAGATAATTTATTTAATTTGTATTTCGGATTTTCTAAGCCTTTTGGATCTATATAAGGAAATACGCCAAATATGTTTGATATATTATTTGACTCCTCGGCTATTTTTTTAGATAAACCAAAGTCTGCTAATTTAATCGTTTTCTGATGTACAAGTATATTATTTGCATGCTATAAATGTATTAAAATATAAGCTATTTAAAAATAAATATTAATTAATTAAAAATAGTAGTTCTTACCAAATCACGATGAACAATATCACAATCATGCATATATTCTACAGCACTTGCCAGTTGTAAAGCTAGGCGAAATTTGTCTCCCCAATCAAGTTCATAGAAATGTTCGTTTAAATAAGAATTTAACGTGCCATTATCAGCATATTCTAAAACCAAAGAATATTTTTTCGTTTCATCTGTATAAAAAAAATAGCAAATGACAATTAATGGTTTATTATAAGTTCGTTGATAAACATTTTTACAAATTTACCAATTCCTTCCATTGTGACCCCATAAAATCTTAGTATGTTTGGATGGGAATCAACTCTTTTATGCAACTTTATCTATAACAAATCGGTTTCAAATTGAATTACATTACATATAATTCTTGTTTAATTCATCAGATCATATATACCTCATTTACGACTTCTTTCAAAGTTATTTTGTCATTTTTAAATGTTTTCAGAGCAAAGAAACGATCTGAACTCTTCCAATTAGTACGTAAAACATTTCCAAACGAACCACTTCCTATTGGTTGTAAATTATTAAAATCTGAGTACTCATAATGAATTATATTTTCCTCAGAAATCGACTTTTCTAACCAATTATTATAAAAAATAGACTTTTGATTTGACATTTTTTCTTTTTTAGCAAAATTGTCAAGTTTAAAATTTAATGCGGAATTTATAAGCAGTTACGAAGTTTATACTTGGTTGCAGTTAATATTAATATTTATTAAAAACGAAGATCGTTGCCTAAATGATTTATCCCCAATTTATTTGTGTCACTTCTTAATTTTGTAAAAGTAATTTATGTATGTTATTTATTTTTATTGAACACAATGTAAAATAGCGAACTATGAATGTAAATCAGTTGAATAAAAAATTAAATAAACATTTTATTAAAGAAATAAAAGGGGAATTGTTTATTAATTAAAATGTCAAATAACACAATAAATGCTACTGCGCGCTGTAATAGAAAATATAATTATCCGATTCTAACCTAAAATTTAAAGCGAAAATCCTTCTTTATAATAATTACCATTCTTATGACTTAGTTACGGAATTCTAAGCAAGGATCAATATTCTTGCGACTTGGGTGACGGAAATGTTTATTAATCGCTTCTTTAAGTCAAAAACGGTCAATTTGACATATATATTTCATCATCCCGAGGGGTCCGAACTTGCGTAACGATCGATCCGAAATATGGAATTGACAATAAATTGAACGTCAATGCCACGTTGATGAAATTTCGAGCGCAGTCAAATTCCGAGGGTGACAATAGCATAAAAAATCCTTACAGCATATTTGTACAGCATAACTTTGTTATATATTTTCTATTTTTTATATAAAAATAAAAAAAAATGCTTTGAATTTTTTTTTTTTTGATTGAGTTTATTGGAGTTTATTATGTAATACAAATTATTAGCCGCAGAACTTGACTGCGCCACATTGGTCAAAAGTGACGTATTTTATATATTCAACCATTTATATTAACCAAGTCATAGAATAAGACTAATTAGTATCTACGCAGGTGATCGTAAGTTCGTTAAAGCTAGCTCTAACTATAAATATTTAAAATTGGGTTGTTTCATAATTTTGGTTATCAGACTAACCGTATTCAACTATTTTTTGAATTTTTGGCGATAATTACGAAAATCTATGAATTTATTCGCATTATTAGGTCAAAAAAAATTCTTTCTTATGGAGATTGTCTAATTTAGATTGTAAAGATTGTTTTTATTGCACAACGCAAAGTATTAGGAGAAAATATGGGCATTGTAAGAGTCAACACATCGAATATACAACTACTTTTTTTCGTCAACAAAAATGAATTTAAAAAATATATTAAAATAACAAATATTGAGACGTTTTGTATGATGAATTATGAAGATTCGCCGTATATAAGCGTTCTTCATCAATCTGCATTTTTTTCGATCGCACATGTTTTTAAAAATCGTTGTTTTTAAATAATTATTTAATAATGATTCGAAAATCTTATCTGTTTCAATCTATTGAATCGTCACGACAGGAATAAATAATAAGGCGTCGAATATAAACAAGTAAAAGCTTCCTTTTTAAAAGCATATTTGAGTTCTCACTTTAGTGGGCTTACATGGGAGGAAGCTTCTGAAGAAACATAAAGCATTGGATACAAGGCTTGCCGAGAAATTCTCTGACGAAGTTCATCCATGTTCTTTGGGCCCGATAGATTTGAAATCAAAATGTTATTTTTTCTATCTGTAATGCTAATGCTACATTTCTACCCACATATTCCGCTACCAGATTTCCGATAGAAATTGTCCAACTATTCCATCAAGACAAGACAGACTATTGCTATAAAATTACTCTCACCCAAAGTCCCCAAGAGTATTCATACAAGAAATTAGGGGATTGGCTTTAAGATTTTATTTAGATATTTGCATTATCTCCGCATTATATTTTTTTGCGTACTTCGAAGCAACTGACGAAAATTTTCTGCGCTAACAAGGCATGTGTCGACGATTAGATATCCAAATATTTTCAAAAATAGAAACATGTTCGAGAAGATTTAAAAAATATAAGGTGATTAGCAATTTGATGAAGTTCTTCTAGAATCTATTCAAGAGTTACTAACATACTGTTACGATTAGTTTCGTCTACTAAACTTTGCATACTGTAACTTTCTTATAATATAATAATGTGTTCGGGGCATTATTGTATAGTTTAGCGGAATATAGTGTCTTCCGGCCAAATTGTCTAGTGGCCAAAATGGCTCCTAGAAAATAAGTCCTTGTTGAATTTCGGGTATAAAAAATGGTGGGATTTTGCTTTGAAAGAAAGGCAGGTTCCTAAATAATAGCATTAATTAATATTTGAGTTTTAATAATTCCCTTCGCATTTAAATAAAATACGTATCTGATCGTATAAAGCGCCGACGATTGAGCAACACCTTATTTACGTAATTTTAGTTGTTATTAATAAATAAAGAGTTTAACAGTTTTTTTTTAATAGTTGAGAAATAAAAATAAATTCTTGTTATTCCATATGAAGTTACGGGATATAGATATAATCACATGCGCGTAAGCGCATGTGATTATTATATAACCTATGCATAAACCCAGTTATCCGTAACTTCATATGGAATAACAGGCTTATCTCATTGTGTATGACGTATACACCGGTGG